CGTGCTGCGGCGAAATTAGCCGAATTCTCCTCCTCGGCCGGGGATCGTTTGAGGTTTCCGTTGCTTCCGTTGCGCCTTTTGTTTACCCGCGAACGCAAAAGCGCAACGAACTCACCGCGTACACAATGCGGATCCGATTTTACACATCGTACAATACGTACGACGATGGGGCGTGAAGCTTGGGGGCGGGGGGGGGGGGAGAGGGCCGGAGAAACGCGCGCGGCAGCACGTAAGAAAGGCGTAATCCTCGGCCGCCTGCGAACCTGCGATATCATGCGAATTTTCGAGCGATATCGGAGCGGTGTTCGTAGGTCGTCGCTTATTGGTATTTAGCCGCCGATACGCACCGGTGCGCGGCCACCTCGCTCGTTGTCGAGGATATCGAAACAGCTCTCGCGGCGTACCTGTCGCCGGCTAGCACCGACACACACGTTGCGAATCCCGCGCCGACGGTCGTAAAGTGTCGATATCTTTCTCGAGATGCAACATCTCGAGCTTCTGCAGTTGCAGTCGTCCGACGAATCGAGCCGATCGCGCCGGTCGTCACCGGTCGTGCCGGTCATCTCTCGGAAGAGGCGCCTCCGCTCGCTCGTTTCCCCTTGAAATGTTTGCCTAGTAACGAGTAGATTACGTCGATTTGCCCGGCCGCGAGTATCGCACCAAGCGTTATCACCGCGAGTCACGTAGCGCAGTCGCGTTGCTTTCAATAAAAGGCGAACGAGTTGCGGGGGCAAGCGAGGAGACGGGGGGAGGCGTAAGGAGCGAGAAAGGGCGAAGGGGGCAATAAGAGAGGGCTGAAGGCGGAGAAACGCAGGTAATTCCGCGTTTGTCTCTTTCTATCCCGCACACGGCATGTATACACACACACACACACACAGGGCCATCGCCGAGCCAGGCTTCGATCTCGCTCACAGCTTCGTCTTCGTCGTCGTCGTCGTCGTCGTCGTCGTCGTCGTCTCCCTTTTTTCGCGGCGGCGCGTATTCGCTCTCGGAGCCTTGTTAAGTCCTTGCTTTCGGACCGCGTTATAATGGTAGAAATAATGACCCGAGCGAGAGTGCGCGCTCGTAATCTGCCGTTAATGTAATCGACTAAACGACGGATGAGCCTGCGACGTTGCCGTCTGCGTGCGCTGCGATTTTTGCGAGAACGTTACACCGCACACGTTTGAAGAGAAAACGTCAGTTTGTCTTCGACTGAAAATGTTTGGTTGAACCGATCTTTTTGCAGAAAGGGGAGACAGTTTGGTCACACCGGCGAGCTTGTTCTCTCCGGGCGAATTTACTTTTTTCTATCGCGCATCGTCACTTGCACATAGAAACATTTCGGTAGTTTTTCGGCGAAACGCTCAACGAGTACTTTTATATACAAACTGGACTGAGAAGTTCCATTGGTTTTCATATACATACAAAAGCGTCCCTTATGTAAAACATAGAATCGTGCGCACACGCGCATTGCAAGGTCCCGAAAGGAATGCACTAACTGCACCGTACAGGCATTTTCACTCCGGAAAATATTAAGGTATTTACGCATAAAAGGGGCCCTCTCCCCGATTTAATTTATTTTTAAATATGTTGTTGGGGGAGTCTTTCTGAGTCGTTTCATATACATATGTAAGGGTCGGACGCAAATTGCTTCGGAGATACAGGTTGAGAAAGGATAGAAATAACAAGTATAAAAATAAATGTTTAATGATGATTTATTCAGTACTTAATGATGATTTATTCGGTACTATCGTTGGGAATTGGGAAGATTTCAGCCATTGCATAAAAAAATGCGGTAATCGCCACGAAACTCGCTTCATATGGAAAGTTGTATTGTTCTGCGTCACATGAGTTTGCGATTTTCCACGTGACGCAAGTTCGACCAGACGAGGGGGGGTGCGGGTGAGGGGCCCCGCACCCCTCTTCGGTGTGTGTGTACGCTTCGGTGATTCATTACTTTAAATGAATTTTCATATATTACTACTTTCATCGTTTCTCAGCTTGTATTTCCGAAGCTATTTGTGTCCGACCATTATATATGTATATGAAACGACTCAGGAAGACTTCCGCAACAATATATTTGAAAATAAATTAAATCGGAGGGGGGGCCTTTTTCATACATAATTACCCATGTTAATATCTATCCAATATTTAATATTTGTGTGAACATTGAATGTGACATTGCAAGAGGAAATATTAAATATTGGGTAAATGTCAACATTTTGTGGAATAAAGATGCCTGTACGATTCAGTACGGTGCAGTTACATTCCTTTCGGGACCTTGCAATGCGCATGCGCGAAATATTGATACATACTTTTAGGGAATGTGTTAAAGAGATCAGTTATCAGTGCAGTGATTTTCAACTAGTGAGAGGATCTAAGGTACGCCGCGAAAATTTTCAAGAATTTTAATCGTTATCTTTTTACCACAAATTACGCTGAGAAGAAATTGTATTAAAATTAAACAAATATTTGTTCGAATCATCGACTGTGAATACATTTATTCAAATTAAGCGACTAATTTCTCAAATGAAATACAGAGGTTCTGAATGTAAACTTTTTTCCTGAATTTTAGAAAATAATTGCTTAATTTAAGTAAATTAATACATTTACTATACATTTAAAAATATTTGTTCGAATCATTGACTGTGAATACATACGAACAAATATTTTTTCGATTTTAATACAATTTTTTCTCAGTGTATAATAAATTGTTTTGTTTTATTTTTTGGCCGTGAGATGGCATTTTACTTGCGTTGAAAAATAAATCAAAAAGAGTATATTCTTTCTCGTACTCTTTTTTTGATCATCATAATTTAAGTGTGCCGCGGGAGTTCAACTACAGATTCAAGCTGTGCCGAGATAAGGAAGGTTGCAAAACACTGTATAATATAGAAGTCTGTGTGCGTATGTATGCGTGTACGCGTACGTAAAGCTGTGCGCTATATCGAATCGCTCTTGTCGATGCAAACGGAGCTGCTGCCAGCTCTCGGATGACCTCTAGTCAAAGGACTATACCTTCCGACTTGTTTGCCGAACGCTACCCTAACGAGCTTTATTAACGATAATCGATTCGCAGAGTTGTAGAGCGGAACGATCGATCGCGCGCGCGCGAGCGCGAGGTCGATGTGCCGCCTTTGAATTCTATCGCGACGGCTTTGTCCATAAATCGTTCTCAATGGAAAGTAATAACGGAGCTCTACAGTGTCTCCGTTATTTAGTGATATGATGGTTGCCGACACACTCGTACATTTCCGATACCGGTTCTCGTTTGAACTCCCAACTCGTTATGTTCGTATCGATGAAGAGACGTGATTTTCTCGCTCAACTTTCAGCTTGAAATATTCAGCATGTTTGTTGAAAATCGATCGATATCGACGATAATGACTGAGAAATAATCACGTGTGTGTGTGTGTGTGTCGTTACGAACTCTACACGTGTCGAAAGAAAAGTGTAGCGACACTTTTGGCGAATAGTGACGAAATGCTCGAAGGAATCGCATTATCCTTGCTACAAACTCTTTGTGAGAGACGTTTTGAGAATGGTCATTCGATCACTCGTCATCTGTCGTCACGGATGTGCCGAGACGACAGATGAGAAAAATGCCACGTCTCTCTCTCTCTCTGTTCGCGGAGCTCGATGATGGCCGGAGACGAAAAACAAAGAAGGAGATCGATATTAAAAATTATTACGTACGTTCTCGGCCGCGTGCGCGCGCGCGCGCGCTACTCTTTTTATACGTATCCTGGGCTACGCAACGAGACCCACCAACGAGCGTGACTCGCTAAGGTAGTCCTTATTAAATCTTCCTCGTCCCCATTAGAGGCAGAAATTACGGATAATCCTTTTTATTACGCACGCTACGCGGACTCCCATGGCAAGGGGGCGCAGAAAGGCAGGCGGTACGTTAAAAAAACGTCGAGATGGGTCGCGGCACGGTTCGACGCGGCATGGTGGTCCGCGTTTCCCATTCCCGACAACAAAGCGCTTTTAAACAATCTCCATTGTGCCGGTAATCCCGAGCCATGCGTGAAATCAACACGTTTTTCCACTTAATTGACAAACACACGCCTCTCCGTCCGTGTGTTCCGACGAGAGCGCCCGCCGCGAACGTCGGCGTCACTTATAACGGTTACGTATCTCGCGAGAATAACGAGCGATATAACAAATGTTACGTACTTCAGGTAGCTCGCAAGGATCGGCTCTCGCAAGATGCGCGCGCGCGCGATTCATGTACGATCGACCGTCTGTATCGCGCGATCTGTAGCGAAATCATCGCGACGTTTCGAGCAAAAAGCGAGCAAAAAGCGAGTACTATATTCGCGCGGTTGCGCGTGTCGGCGGAAAGGGCTGGATAGGAAGAAAAAAGCTGGAGCACGAGCGCCGAGAAGCGTGGAACGAGCGCTCTTTTAGTCCCGGATTAATAGCTATTTAGACTTTTTCTCGCTCATCGGCGATCAGCAACCACGGCTCATTAATGTAAACTTTTCCGAGCGAGCGAAAAAGTAGAGAAAGAAAAAGAGACAAAGGCAGGCAGGTGTTTGCCCAGGTAGAACAGAAAATCACGATGACATGAAAATGACGTCAAGATGATGAGGAAAACTCTTTTCCTCGTCATGACTCGGTCATTTTCTTGTCGTCATCATTTTGATGTCATCATGATTTTTTGTTCTACTTAGGTGCGCGCGCGTAATTGTGGCAGAACAAATAGCGAAATCGCGCACGTTGTAGATGGCAAATCTCGCGAAATAAAGCGTGATCGAAAAGATCGCTTTACAGAAAAGATTTGACAAGCGTCCCCCCGTGGTGGTCTAACCTTCGGAGGGAACGACGACGAGCGAGAGGATAAAGGAACTCGCGGCTCTGCTCGCGCGAGCGAGTTCATTAACGTCGATCGGAGTTTGTTACTCGACGAGTAAGACGTAATCGTGACATCTAATTGGTCTAGGATAAACAAGAGGGACAGGGTTCGATGATTCACTACGGGCAATAAGAAACAACATGTGTCGTCTGCTCGTGTTCTATGTATATATACAATAATTTATTTCGCTACGTAATCGTTTTCTACATTTACAAATCGTTTTTGCTCGAGCGAGTACGAGAGTACAGATAGTATAGATCGATGCGCTGGAGTGTGTGGAACGAGCAGCCCCTTCTTTCGCACGCGTCATTCGCATCTTCGGCAAGAAGAGGCAGCAGGACGACGCACGGTGCGGTGCGAAACTTGGCCGACTTGGCGACAAGATAACGACGACGACGACGACGACGACGACGACAAGAGCGGGAGGACGAGAATATTTCGCCCGAATGAGTGTACAGATATTTCGTGCGATTTTCTCCTTCCTCTTGCAGGATTGTACTGTCCCGTTCGTTAAATAGGCTCGTCTGAAATTCAGACTCGAGTGCCTCTAAGAAGATGTACGTATGTTAAACAGTCGCGTGCAACTCAGTCAAGTACTCTGGCTTTCCTAAAACGAGCAAATTTCACACCGCGCGACGGAGAGCCACGCTTCGATCAGATCTGCGCAACATGTGCAACTTTGCACTTTAGAGTTTTACGTGTCTCTATTTTAATCGAGCCTCATTGATAATGCATAATACCCCGCACGTACGCGCGCTTGGTGCCTTCGTCTCGCGAATCGACCTTGAGCGATCGTACTTGACGACATTTTCCGGAAATTTGTGACAGCGATGCCTCTTCACGCGCGAGCGCTGCGAGTAATTTACGCATTCGTACAGACATTTGTCTCTCTCTCTCTCTCTCTCTCTCTCTCTCTCTCTCTCTCTCTTTCGTGTAAGAGGAAGCAAGCGCCACCTTGCGTCTACCTCGAAATGCAAAATAGACTTTTGAAATTTTATTTAGGGAAAAGGAATATACACGATGATGTGTGTATGTGTGTGCGCGCGCGCGCGCGTGTCTCTCTCTCTCTCTCTCTCTCTCTCTCTCTCTCTCTCTCTCTCTCTCTCTCTGCCATATCGTCGAAATAATTTACGATACAAGTATATATAAATCTCTTAATCTCTACTTCTCGAGCCAAACGTTAGTTTGGCTTAAAAATTTAATTTTTCAATAAGTTAATTATATTAATCTATAAATACATACACATATGTACACTTTTTCTCTCTAAAAGGACAAGCGCGAGTCAATGCGTATATATAATTCCCCCCGTTTTTTCACTCCTCTATATAAATATCTTCAAGATGTAACAATCGTGTAAATATCTTCAACTCGCAATAGTAAAATTCTATAGCGCTTTCTTCCTCTTACTTCAGCAAAGTAACTCCGGTCGATCGCGCAAATTGTTCAACTCGACTCGAGCGCAAACAATTGTCAGATTGCTGTAAAAAGCCTAGACACTTTCCTGCGTTTTGTGTTGTGTTTCTTTTCTCCTTCGAACGAAACGGTCGACTCGTCGACGGGGCAAGAGACGGAAAAGATTTTGGAAAAATTTCCGAAATCTCGAAGAATTCTACAAAATTTCCCTCTTTGGGGGAAAGAGCACAATTACTTAATTTCGCTCTGTGGAATAATACGACTCGGCGAATCCCCGAGTCGCGCGAGTGAAATCGCCAAGTTGCGCGCACAGGCTTGACGCGCCGCTCGGAGTAACGCAATCGACTTTAGGTCACAAAGACGCCGGTATTCGCGCTCGCACCTGCTCCTACTCATCCAGAGATCGTCCACTTATTGAATCACACAGACGGAAGCCGCGACGCGCGACTCGGTCGTGGTGGATGTTCGAGAGCGACAATCGTTGCATCTTCACGCACGAGGGGGCCTCGTGCGACGAAAACCGATATGAAGCGAAGACAACCTCCCGATAAGAAGACGGCATTTACGAAACGAGGAACTAACGTTATCTACAAAGTCTTCCCACGGCTGCGCGTGTCATCCGCGTATCACCGATTCGCGACAGGCATGGGACAACGAAGATCGCGACGAAGAGCCTCGCACAATCTTACGCGAGTTTATCGTTCAACGAGGTGGCAAGGTACAGCGCGGTTCCGTCAATGAGGGGACAGCGAAGGATCGTCTCTCCTTGCGACGCGCCCCCTCCTCCCCGCCCCCCGTTCCGGACGGGACGCGCATCAACGCATGAAAATCGCTCGTACTGATTTTGCGAATGTTCGACGACGGCGCCGTTCCGTTCCGAACGCGTCGTCTCTCGAGGAGTCGTCGTAACAGCAGAAGCGCGACTTCCCCCGCTGGCTGAAGGAACGCGATGAAAGGCGTGTCGCGAAGACGTCCCGAGTCTTTGGCCAGTCAGAAGCCCAACGTTGATGTCGACGTCGAAGAGGGTCGAGTCAACGTTGATTCAACGGTTCGTTGACCATTTCAACGTCGAATCAACGTTACGCTTCCGTCTGGCTGCGGCGTCCCCTGGAAGAGCCTGTGCACGGCTGTGCTCGGTCGGGACGCGGAGCGGAGTTCAGGTGGCGGTGCCGTAAGAGGGCCTCTGAATGCCCGCGGTCGCGACCGACATCGAGTAGCCGGCGTAAAGCGGCCTGGGTGCGAGGAGCGAGGACTTTTTCGCGATCGACTCGTCGGACAGCCTCGCAGCCGCCGCCGTCGCTTGATCGCCGCCAGCAGCACCAGCACCAGCACCAGCACCAGCACCAACACTACCACTGCCACCGCCGCCGGCTGTCTCGCCGGCGCTCTCGCGCAGGTTGTCGTCGGGCGCGATGATGTTCTCGATGGTGAACGGCTTCTTCACACGCTTCTCGGCGACGCTCGGTAGCGCCGTGTTCGTCGCGGTGAGAACAAGCGCGGCGGCCGTCAGCGGGTCCTCGCGGCTGCTGGGCAACGTCCGTTCGACCTCCACCACTAGACTCGAGATCGGCGAGAGGTGACGGTAGGACTTGGACGCGGGCGAGTGCGGCGAGGTCGGCGAGATAGGCGGCGAGACGCCGCCGCCGCCGCCGCCGCCGCCACCACCGGAGGTCACGGCGCCCCGCCCGTAGAGATTCATCCTAGACGACGAGGTGGACGACGACGAGGACGACGAGAGCGGCTCGTCCGCATCGGCGAGCTTGTCGCGGTAGGCCGCGACTTCGTAGGCCGCGCTCTCGACCGCGAAGACAGTCGTCTCGCCGTCTCTCGCGCTCTCCAACGCGCGCTCACCGGAGGACAGACGCCGTCGCTCGTCCCGTATCTCCCGCGGTGGGATGCCCTGTTGCCTGGTGGCGCCAGGTGGTTGCTGATGGAGGTACGGTAGCTGCGAGACCGCCGCGTACGACGACGGCGAGACCGGGAAGCTGGGGAAGTTCCAGGAGGACGCGGAGTGCAGGAGCGCCGCCGTCTCGTACGTCCTGAGGATCTCATTGCCGCCGTCGGCGGTCAATCTCTGCCTGACCTCCGGCGACAGCAGGTAGTAACCGGCGGCGACCGCTTCCGGGGCGGCGGGTACGGCCGCCGGTAGACCGGAGGTCGCGCCTCCGTCGAACCGCGAGCCGAAGCCGCTCGTGGCGAATTCGCCGGGGCCGGAGGAGGAGGCGGAGGCGGCGGCGGCGGCGGCGGCGATCATCATCCGTCTCTCCTGTATCTCCCAACGGAGGAGGTCGTCTCGCAGACGATGGAGGTTCGCCAGGCTGAGGCCGTTGGCGGAGCAGGTCGCGCCCGCGTCGACGACCGCGGACTCCACGTGCGGCTGCGACTGCGGCTGCGGCTGCGGCTGCGGCTGCGGCTGCGGCGGCGGCGGTGGTGGCGGCGGCGGCGGCGGCGGCGGCGGCGGGGGTGGTAAAGGCGGCGGCATCGCTGAGGCGAGCGCCTGCAGCTCGGACTTGAGCAGCTCCTTGTCCGGCTTGTGCAGCTTGAAGCGTTTCCGTCGGCGGAGGAGCGAGCCGTTCTCGAACATGGACAACGCGGCGGGGTGCAACGCCCAGTAGGCTCCCTTGCCCGGCCGATGCGGACCACGCGGCACCTGGAAATCCGCCACGGTTTATCACGCTGAGAGTTTGCCTACACTGAGAAGAAATTCTATTAAAATTAACCAAATATTTCGGCGAGTACGACTGCGAATATATTTATTCGAATTAAGCGGCTAATTTCTCAAATGAGCTACAGAGGTTCCTCTGAACGTAAAGTTTCTTTTCTGGAATTTAGGAAACGATTGCTTAACTTAAGTAGATGTATTCACGGTCGTATTCGAGAACAAATATTTGTTTAATTCTAATACAATTTTTTCTCAGTGTAGACTGCGCTCGCCCAGTCGCCGGGTACGCGCCTCGACTGCCGGCTCGATTCGGCCTAGGCTTGCCAGATGCGAAATGACCATTTCCGGGACGTTTCTCAGACGACGGTTGGAAAATAGGTTGTTGGAGAATTTTAGCTAAATTTGAGAGATAGGCCGGGACTTATATTCAAGACCGCGTCTTACGTTCATTTTCAGAGATATTTCGGAGATTTCGCAGCCAATGAAATAATTTCTACAGCATCTGAAGATGAACCTAAGACAGTCTTAAATAAGTCTTAAGATCCGACTATGAATACCATAGCCACAGACAGGGCTAAGACGGCTAAGAGATGCCGCTGTGCACACTCGCGACGAATGCGTGAATTAGGTAGCAGCAGAGAGAAGTTTGGACATGAACAGTGCGATTGTATTTTTTCACCACGCGAATGGCTATTGCTTGACATCAATTTTCTCAGGTGGCACGTCAGGTCGAAACATTCGGCCCTATCAATCGCGCTGACCGCTCTCAGCTTTCTCTCTGCAGGTACCCACTTAGCAACATGAATGTTACGATTATGACTTTGTTGAAATTCTCATTTGCCGGGACAGAAGACTTTAAGTTCCTGGACACGGGACAAGCTTGAGAATTCCAGGACGTTCCCGGGAATCCCGGCCATCTGGCAAGCCTAATTCGGCCTGAGAAGCGAGAGTTTGCCTGCGGTTCATTCGTGCGAGGGAATAGGGAATTTCTGCAATACCGTCTCTCAAATACGGTAAACGGTTGATCGTGAATGCTACTGCATTGCTCGACGTTATTTCTGAGCGAATAACCTTCGACGATCGACGTTTACCGTATCTGAGAGACGGTATTGCAAGAACTCCCTATTCTGCCTTAGTTTTAGGAGCAGCGCCTCTCCGACGCGGGAACTCTGCGCCATTTCTCGCGTGCGCTCGTGCCGTTTTTGTCTCTCCCGATGAGCGCGCAAACGAAGCGCGAAGTGCGACCCCCTGGACTCTTGGACTCGACTGGTTTTTCCCAAACTTGTAATCCGCGCTCTCTCGACGCGTACGCGTGCTCGTCCGCGACGACGTTCGGTTCTCGAGATCTAGGTTGAAGCTATCTAGGTTCGCGCTACTTGCTCGAGTCCACGCTTCATGAACGACGAATATGTCCGCTCTGTGAGCCGCTGACTGATATCTCGGTAGCGCGCGCTCGAGACGGAAAATGCCGGTCACGTCGTCGCGCGTAAAACGCTGCAAGCGCGACGTCCGAGGCAATTACATGCGCCTCTCGTAAAGCACGGCCGCTCGTGTTACACTTACACGCACGATCAGGCGGGGAGGGAGGGTTCGTGTTTTTCCTCTCTCTCTCTCTCCCTCTCTGGAGATTGCGCGGAAAGGCGACTAACCGACACACCGACTAACCGAGATGCTCTCGCCGACGATGGCCGACGTAGTATCGCGCACACCGCGGCGATTGATGAGCTGTAGAGAGTCTGTGGTGCTTCATTACTCGCCAGGAACGAACAGGTTTTACATTTAATAACGCGAAACGATTATCTGCCGATCGGGCGAGTTAATTCGATCGGAAAGGCAACCTGCCGCCGCGCCGCGTCGCGCCGCGCTGCGCCGGACAGATCTCTCTCGCGGAGAGAAGGAAGTATATCGCGGCGCGCGAACGCGTTATTATTACGCCTGTACCACGCCTCAGTATTGCGAGGTAGACGAGATCGGTTCCCCAACTCTCGCCTCCTTCGCGACCGTTTCTTACGCTTGTTATCGGCGGCCCGGCCTCTGGATTCGCGTTCGCGTCGCGGTCGACATTGCGCATTGTGCCGCAGAGAGAGAGAGAGAGAGAGAGAGAGAGAGAAAATTTTACACGTCTTTCACGTTCGTCGAAAGATCGGTAGATTTTTACACAGAGAGAAATCCTGTCCGGCTAACGCCCGGTTTCTTCACACCTCTCTCAATGGCTATCTTCCGTAGATAAAGATATCCGTCAGATAACGAAAAATTCGTCTTCTTCAGTGAGAGCCTCTGGCTACGTATCCAGCAGATAGCTATTCTTCGTATTAACTTTTGACACAAAGTGTGTGCTAGAAATTTGTTATAAATTATCGTATTCTGCCAGCGACATGTTCTTCGACCAAGGCCAGTTCTGCCAGACCAGCCAGCCAACACACTCTTCTCAAGTGATGTTATATTTTACGAAAATAAATATTTCTGAGCCTATTTTCGGTCAACTATTTTGAAAAGTGTCGGAAAAACAATTATCCGGCTCAGTGGAGGAGAGAGAGAGAGAGAGAGAGAGAGAGAGAGAGAGAGAGAGAGAGAGAGAGAGAGAGAGAGAGAGAGAGAGAGAGAGAGAGAGAGAGAAGAGAGAGAGAGAGAGAGAGAGAGAGAGAGAGAGAGAGAGAGAGAGAGAGAGAGAGAGAGAGAGAGAGAAGAGGAGCAAATTTCACGAAAACTGAAATTGATTTGTTAATCGAGATTACATTAAAATATAAACATATTGTCGAAAATCAAAGAACCGGTGCAACAACATGGAAAGATAAAAATGAAGCGTGGAGAAAAATTTGCGACGAATTTAATGCTGCTTTGGGAAATTTTCCCCGTCTTCTTTTTCTACAAATTCATCATGATCATCATAATCAGATTAAAAAATATTAATATCCACGAATAACAAATCCGTTATCATGTTTGTGTTTTCATAAAAACAGCAAAGATTTCGTATTCTTGCAATTTTTAGATCACGTCAGGAAATCAACATCTGCCAGATATATCCGCCACTTCAGGTAGAGAATAAGTTTATCTGCCGGATAGGAACTTTACAGAGGTGAAGAAAATCGAGGTTCTAGGAGATATCTCGTGGACAAGGTTATCCACATCGACAACTTATCTGGAGGTGAAGAAATTGGGCATAAACCAAACGCGAAAACTTGCACGACTCTCTGAAACTCTTGAGCGTGACTGTAACTCGAAGACTATTAAAGTCGCAGCATCTTGGAGAAGAGATTGACTTGAAATTGATGAATCGGCAATATCGATCGGAAGAATAATAGCGCAAAAGAAAGCGCGGCCGAAGCCGGAACAAACTGTACGCTCCTTCGTACGCGCGATCGCGCGAACAATCTCGATGCGAGTTGATTCGCGATCGACGTCCGGCTCTTCCGGAAGATGAAATTTCTCGCAGAGACATTATTATACTTTCCACCGTTTCCATTTATAGTCTCGCGTTTCACGCTTTCTAACAACGATAATTACCGTTCGTCGCGGCCAAGGGCATACGCGATGTGAATTTTGTCCGATCCCGGCTGTTAGAAAGAAAGAAAAGCGGCTTCCACTTCCAAATGAAACGTTTCAAATGCTCCATGGACTATACTCGCACTCGTATAGTCGACAGCAGAAAAACAAGCAGAAAAAGCAGAGAAGAAAAAGAAACACGATTGACGATACATGATGAAATCGCGCGACGATACAGAATATCGCTTTCTCCGCAATCTTCGCAATCGCACGGATAAACGGATAACGTCTCTTCTTTTTACTCGACACGCATGTCTGAAAGACATCCAAAGGACATTTGGATGGAATTTGGAGGCAACCCTAGTAGCACACTTCATTGGCGTTACATTAGTGTTACATTGGCTACATTGACATAAATTGGGGTTAAATTGACATAAGTTGAGGTTACATTGGCCCAGTATATATCCCAATATACAGCCGATATTGGTTAGATATTAAATTACAATATATCGCCAATATTGCATAGCATTGTTATACCAATATTGACTTACATTGGGGTTACATTGGTCCAGTGTATCCCAATATGCAGTCAGTATTGGTTAGATATCAAATTACAGGATATCGCCAATATTACATAGCATTGTTATACCAATATTGACTTATATTGGGGCTACATCGGCCCAATGTATCCCAATATATTGGGAATTAATATTGGTTAGATATTATTGGTTAGAAATTACAATATATCGCCAATATTGCATAGCATTGTTATACCAATATTGACTTTCATTGGGGGGTTACATTGGTCAATATTGGGGGGCCCAATTTGTAGCCAATATTGGCCCAACAATACGTGCTACTAGGGAAAATCTCGCCGTTTCTTGGCCACCGGTATTCACAGTCTGATCTTATATTCAAGATCGTCTTGATCGTTCATTTTCAGACACTGTGTGAATTACTTCACTGGGTACGGGGTATCTGAAGGTGAACTTAAGACGCCCTTAAATATAAGACCTGGCTATGAATACCGGCCTTGGACACGTCTTTGAGGCAGGTGTGGGTTCGTTCCTTTCGAGATTTCGCGTCTCTCTTGGATTTTCCAAACGGCGCGGCGCGAAGAAAGCGCTTCTACCACGACTCTTGGAAATAGAGACGAGCGAGCGAGAGCCGACGGGCCGGCGGTATTTCGTAATTTTGTGGAACCGTGAGACCAGCGCGCGCGCCATGTCGGTGATCGCGCACGTTGGCAGGTGCGAAACAGATGGCCCGATAATACAATGCCACCACACAAACACCTTGCGCCCTGCGTCGTCGTCGCTTCGCGAGCTCGGACATTTGCGTTGAAAAGGTATATCGTCGCGCAAGCCGATCAACGGACAAGATCCGTTCCACCTCTCGTCACGCTTCATTCGACGTTTCGACGTTTTCGATAACCGCGATTCGAGGACGCGCGCGTGCGAGAGAGAGAGAGAGAGAGAGACGATACTTTGGGTGAATCACGTGATTGGCGCAAAGGGGGGCGGGCAAGGCGCATTGTTTTTGTTGGTCGGACGAAGAGCAAGCGAGAACGTTCACGATTTGCTCTGAAGGAATTTTGTTGCTAATGGTCATCGCTCATGGCCGTCGCTCGATAATCGAATGTGAAGTCGATTTCGCCCGCTGCGAAGGAGGACAAACTCGTCTCGTGATGACATGAACGCAGACTCCGAGCGTGCTCCCAGACTAACCTTGATGAAGCAGTCGTTGAAGGACAAGTTGTGCCTCAAAGAGTTTTGCCATCGTCGCGTGTCCTTCCTGTAATACGGGAAGCGGTCGGCGATGAACTTGTAAATCTCGGCGAGCGGTAACATCTTGTCCCTTGACGACCATATCGCCATCGCCGTCAGCGATATGTAAGAGTATGGTGGTTTCTGGTCACCGTAGGTATCGCGCGACGGCCGCGGCATTATCGAACAGGGCGATACAAGGTGAAGAAGGAAGGACGGGGGGGACAGGGAAAGAAAGAGAGGAGGAAGAGAGAGAGAGAGAGAGAGAGAGAGAGAAAGAGAGAGAGAAGACGCGCGTCGACGATTCCAAGTTAGACAGATCTGGACGATCCACGGCCTCTGACTCCGCTTGCAATCGTCCTCTAGGACGACTCCAGCGCTCTTGCAGAGGTCAGCGCGACGCTCAGCATCGTCCGCGACGTTCGCCGGTACCTGAACGCCGCCGGCATCCTCCGGCCGAGTCGGCCTCGGGAAAAGCGCGAGAGAGACTGTTCTTGTTAACGACTGCCGCAGCAGCGCAGCCACGAGCCGAGATCCCCATCGGACCCAACCACGCTGACTCCAAGTGCGCGCGGCTGGCCGAGGCAAGTCAACGAGCTGCAGTCGTCGTCGCTGCAGCGGCACGTGTCACGATAAATATCACCACGAGCAGGAGGAGCAAGATGATGAACCTCTACGCACTCGTCAGTGGGACTGTCCGCGCGCGCGCGCGCACGCACGCGACGAGCTCTCTCGCTCTCTCAGCGTTCCGTGTTCGCGCCGGAGAAGCGACCGGACGACACTCGAGTAACCGCGATCGCGTCTCCACGGATACTGCGGTCGATCTATACCCACACCCCCGCACTACCGAGTGCCCCTACCTCCGCCATCTCGCCACTCGTGCCGTAGCCTGGATTGGAGGTCGTCGCGCTGCAACCTCCCAACCAGAGCACCGTCGTGGCCGCGGCCGACCTCCTCCGTGTCCAATGGCGCACGGCTCTTCCCTACCCTGGGCTGCGGCGCGGCGGAATGTCGTCCATTTCCGCGCCGCGGCGCCGAGCGAACGTCGTGCGGCGCGCGCTGCCCACGACGAAAGGGCCGGCTCTCTCTCGCGTCGGCACCACCCCTCGCAGCGGCGAGAGACCGAGGAGAGCCGCGAGTAGCCAGCCAATCCCCGATCGAACGCGCACCGTGATTGCCGTGGTGTGCACGACGTACACGGCGCGAGACGTCGTATGTTACACGTTAGTACCGGGAGAACGAACGGCTGCTGCACTTTCTCTCTCTCTCTCTCTCTGTCTCTCTCTCTGTCTCTCTCTCTCTCTCTCTCTCTCTCTCTCTCTGTCTTCTTTCGCAGACTTTCGCAAGCTGCGATTCGCGCGAATCGATTCGCGAGCCGTGCGAGGGAGGCTCTACCTTCGTCGTCGGCGGGGGCTCGCGTTCTAACGAGCCACCGAGACAACGGCACGCTGCTTTCGCTACTCGTTGTTCGCTGACGAAACACGCGACGGAGAGCAGCTCGGTTATATCGAGACGAGTTTCGAGTTTGCGAGCAAACGCGATAATGACAATCGTTCATCATGGTGAGCGTCCTCGGCGAAATTATCCTCTTCCAGGGAGGAAGGGGGGGGGAGAGAGAGAGAGAGAGAGAGTAGGAGGTATCCTCTTGCGCTCTCGCACCCTTGCAGCCTTGCTGTGCACTCGCCTTGCGCACTCATTTCCGCGAAAACTCAGCAGCATCGGCCAAATCGGCGTTCGACATTTCCTCCGTCAGCAAGATCCAATCTAATCGGTCAATTTAGATTGAACGTGTTCGCCGAGACCGCCACTCGAGAGCCGCGGCGAAGGGTGGGGTGGGAGAAGGCAAACCAATCGCAGCACCTTCCGCGGCCACAGCTCCTCGGCAAGTAGGCGTGCCGCTACGCCTTGTACCGGGCCGACAAAATGGCAATTCTCAGCTTATTAGCGCTGTACCCTGGGTGCACCGACCGGTGCACCATATCCGCGACTGAAATTATACACTTCCGGTTCAAACGTATCGCGCTTCGTTTGGTTCGGGATATCGAGACTGTTGTTGATTAATTTCATATCGTACAACTCGTTTTTCGCATGTTCGTTTACCTTGGAAATTCCTCTACACGCGACAAACTGCCAATCAATCATAGCTCTCAATTTCGAATAGAATCGCGTCGACGACAATATTCCGTAGTTACGGCCAAAAGTCACGACTAATTTACAGCCATGACTGTAATGTCAACGGCGGGTCTTCGGAGGAATTTAGAGTCGACTTTTGCTCAACAGGAAACAAGGCTCTGCATGTGGGATTCAATGGGTGCTTCACGATTGTCCTGCGAAAAAAAGAAAGGACGAAAGAGCGAAGGGCCTGAAAAAGATACATAGGAGCGAGAAAAACTCACACGGCTGCAGTCGGAGGGGGAGGATGTTCAGGATCGTCGTATCGATAGATCGAGAAGATACGCTCTGTAGAAAATCTACAATCGTATATTTAACGGAGGTAAGAAATAATATACAACCTGCGCTACGCACAATGATGCGTGTAATCACGCATCGAGCCTCGACGGTCTGAGACCTAAACGCTCGATTACATACTCTGGCATACAATAAGTGGGATTGATCGGTTTCAACGAGTAATCCCTGTCTAACAACGACAACGCGGTGAGGCCGAACAACGTGTGAAAAGGATCGGCTACGTCCCCGGGTCGATCGCTGAAACCGCCGGATTCGGTGTCTTGACAAATCAGGATGTAATTCACCTGTAAGCAGACACATAAAGGGGAGTCCCGGCGAGCAACGATGTGACTACATTGTTCGACCAATTGCTTTCTTTCTTCACTCACCAGACGCTTCTTATCGATCCAATGGAGGCGACCCAAAATCGTCAACGCCGATAAGACCCACCAAGAATAGCATACGTCCGGCAATTTTTCCGGTCTGCCGTTTAAGCCGCCGGAAGGTAGTTGCCTCTCGCATAACCACCACCCCAAACGATCGGCATCTATCAGATGCAGATGTCCTGGAAAACATTCTGATAAGTGACGACACCTGTCGCTGGAGAATGATGCCTCGAAAAGTCTAGTTGTCAAGGAGAATCGCGACGAACAAACAGATTCCTTCTTGTCATCTCTAAGATATATGTAGTATCTCGTACGCGCTCTATACCTGTTATCGAAAGCAATCCCACGCAACAATATATTAAACCGGCGTGACTCTCGGATCCTGGTTTCGAGCCAAATGCCCCATCAAAATTCATACACTTTATTATGAATTCTACCGCTTTCTCGATATTTATCGCATCCAAACGATTCTGAAACAAGTGAAACAAGTAATACAGGGTGCTTTGACATCAGAATACCGTGATGAGAAAGGGTACAATGCAAAATTTACCACAAGCGATAAAGTAGCAACAGCACAGAATGAGAATCTGACATCCACCTCTCCCCAACAATCACCGGTGAAACTTCCGTCTGGCTGCTGCCTCTCTTTCACATATTTCACAACTTTCTCGACATTTATTACATCCAGTGCATCATAAATGCATAATATCTGAATGGCACTGAGTGTATAAAGTAAATGTGGATCGTGCTCTATACTAGCGCTTATACCACCGCAGTCACTTTGACATTGACCAATAAATTCTAACACCCGTTGCTTATCAGCTTGCTCTAATTTTCCCATTAAATCTAGCGCAGTAAGGCCCCAATACATACCGGACATTCTCATGTGCTCTGTCATACAATAGGTCTGAAACGTAAGTAAATAATGATGTTACATGATTTGAGATGATTTACTGATGTACAAAATAAAATATTGCATTAACAAACTGTAAATATATCTCTCTTGTAACCAACACTCATTGCATGTAAAGTTAAAATAGTACCAATATGGATTCTTACATATTCATCTTTGTCAGTTTCATAAGAAATGAGATATTTCACATGTTTCTCAAGTAGTAATTCTGGAATTTTACTAGGTAGTTCAATATCGTGCTTCAATGTCGTCTATAAAAGAAAGATAAATGATCAAAGGGATAAATTAGCATGACATGATTCGCCTTTAATGATCGCATAACTACTATAACTGAATTACGCATAACTGATCGTAATATCATGTTTCATGTTTATGTAAAATGTAACATGTGACTGGAGTGAAAAGTACAATGGTTGTATTTCATTTGTACATTGGACACATAACCTTACAACTATTGTTTTGCCAGATATCTTGTCAAGTTTTCTCTAATAATTTGATAGTTTAAGCTCACCATTTTATAGTTGTTGCGTCATCAACACGAGATTATGAATTTTGTTTGTGTATAACCTACTTATCCGGTGTTACTTGAGTTGAAAATTTTATTCTGCACTTAATTCGTGAACTCCATATTGGAAAAATTGTATGATAAATCTTCGGTACAATCACCTCATTGATCTTGTTGAAAGTTACATAACTGCAATTGTAACAAGTAACAAATGTAAGTATTGACGTAACCAATAGTGAATACTCCCTACCTATCACTCTCTTTCTCGCAACAGTGGAGTGAACACTCTCTCCTTCGATATATAGCTCTAAAGGTTAGGCCCCTTGCACAATGCCAGGTAACAAGCAATAAGAATAAAAATAGACCAATCACAATCGACTATTCCAAGAATAATCTATTGTGATTGGTCTATTTTTATTTTTATTGTCGGTTGTCTGGCATTGTGCAAGGGGCTTTAATCTTCAACTCCATTGACCGAAGCGGAATGAATAGAATGGCAACTAGAGACGCAGATGCATAGACATAGGAATATAGGGACAGAGCATAGAGTTGCGGGGGGATAACCATTGCGGGACGGTGCGACGGGATAAACTGTGCCTAAATCTAATTGGTTGTGCCGTGTGTAAGTATTTGATACGTACATAGATATGTATGAAGTTATGTGTGAGTGAAATTATGAAAAAAAAGACACATGCATAACCTCTGCAAAATAATACTGTCAGTGCATAAGAAAAGATAAATACAAATAATAGAATGGTGCAGTGTTATGTTCCAAAGTGTAAGAACAGGTCCGATAGCCAAAATTGGAAAAAAACCAGCAATGTGGACAAAAATCGAAAAATTACATTTCACAGGTATAAAATTGCATGTACTGTAAAATAATAATATTCAATTTTTAAAAAGGTTGTTTAATATAATATAAAGTAATTATACAGAATACCTTCCTTACCTCCGATATCGACGAAAAAATATTTAATCGACGCGTTTTTGCAAGAGAAACAACTTTTCTATTTGAAAAAATCATCGCTCTGTCTTGTGGAGCGAGATATAAATTGTTAAAGTTGATGACAATTTAGGTTAGGAAATCTGTCACAGAGGCGACAGATAAGCAAGATTCCGGATAGGTTTGCAACTTTCCACGCGCAACGAGGACGGGGAAGGGGTCCGAAGACCCCCCTTGCACCCCCCGTGTGTGTGTGTGTGTGTGTGTGTCTGTGTATGTGTGTACACATATGTTGAGGCATTTATTAAACATATGAATTTTTAGCTCATGTACTTCGGACCCTTTCCCCGTCCTCGTTGCGCGTGGAAAGTTGCAACCTATCCGGAATCTTGCTTATCTGTCGCCTCCGTGACAGATTTCCTAACCTAAATTGTCATCAACTTTAACAATTTATATCTCGCTCCACAAGACAGAGCGATGATTTTTTCAAATAGAAAAGTTGTTTCTCTTGCAAAAACGCGTCGATTAAATATTTTTTCGTCGATATCGGAGGTGAGGAGGGTATTCTGTATAACTACCTAATATAAATATTTATGTTTAGCATTCCAAAAAATAATACAAGCCGCAATTTGTGGACTGATATCTTAAATCTTCCACCACATATTCCAAATAGTGCACGTATTTGCTCTGATCATTTTTCAAAGGAATCTTTCAATCAAACAAATGGATTATTAATGCGATTAAGGCCAGATACTTTGCCATTGAATGAATGTGAAAAACATATAGAAATGGAAAAAAGAGAGAATGATTCCTTTGTTGCATGCTGTAAGTAGATAAAGTAACAAATTTTTATACTTATTTATGTTATTAGCATTTATATTATTTATGATTGGATAATGCCTACTGTTTGTAGAGGTAATATAATTGCTAGAAATACAAATTATTCATTGTATTATTATATATTATATAAAATATGTTATGACGTTTAGCACAACCATCAACAACAGATAAGGAAACAATGACATCGATACAACCATGTACAACAGAGAAAGCAACAATGGTATCATTTAAAAGAATTTATAATTCTCCAGAAAAATGTCGACTGAGGAAGCTATTAAAATACCAAAAAGAAAAGTACATGAAAAAAATACGAAATTTGCAGCACATAGTACGTCGACGTAACAAGCAACTTTCAATACTGAGAGGTATTTTGGATATGCTATGACAGAAATGCTTATTGGAAACAGACCAAAGTGAAATGCTACTTAGCTTATATGGGTCTAATGACGAATTATTTAAACGTTTACGTAGTAAAGAAATACATGAACGTGTTCCAAGGCAATATGAGCCATAACTGCGTGTGTTTGCGTTAACATTACATTATTATTCTCCACGTGCTTACGAATATGTTCGCAGAGAATTTAGGTTATGTTTACCACAAACATTACAAAAACTATTTCATCATGGTACAGAACAATAAATGGCAAGCTGGTATTAGTATAGAAGCTTTAGAATCAATTAAAAACCGAGTAAAAAATACAGAGTATATTTTATGTGGTAGTATCCAATTCGACGAAATGGCTATTCGTGAACACTTGGAATATGATGGTGTGTAATTTAGTGGATATGTTGATTTAGTTTGTAATATTGGTTGTGACGATAGCACTTTAGCTACACAGTCTTTGGTGTTTATGGTCTTTGGTGCTTATAGTGACTTGTGTAAATAGCATGTGGAAAATCCCTATTACTTATTATTTTATTAAAGGAATATCTGCACAAGAGAAACGTAACTTTCTAATAGAATGCTTGAAAGCTTTGCATGAAACTGGCCTGAAAATAATATCTGTAACGTACGATGGGACTACAACAAATTTAAGCATGTTTCAAGATGTTAGATGTGATTTTATTAATAAATCTTTATTACAAACATCATTTCAGCATCCAGTTACAAACGACAACGTGGTAGTGTTCCTTGATCCGTGCTACATGCTAAAATTAGTACGTAATACATTTGGTGACATGAATATTTTAATAAACGCAAATAATCAACTTATACAATGGTAGGATATCATAGCATTACATGAATTACAAGAAAGTGAAGGAATGCACTTAGGCAACAAGTTGCGAAATATCCATGTTAATTATACAAAACAAAAAATGAAAGTACGCTTAGCAGCTCAAATTTTTAATAAATCTGTCGCTAATGCACTCTTATTTTGCAAAAATGATTTACAGATTCAACAATTTCGATCTTGCGAGGAAACAGTACAATTTCTATCCATATTTAACGACCTCTTTGATATTTTAAGTTCAAGAAATATGTATCAACTTGGATTTAAACAAGCTTTAAATTTAAAAAATATAGAAACAATGAAAAAAATTCAATGAATGTAAAACGTATATTTTATCGTTAAAAAATAAAAATGGCGAAGTAATCATTACTTCTCGGCGAAAAACAGGATTTCTCGGATTCTTAATTTGCATTGAAAGTGTATTAACATTATATGACGAATTATGTGCAAAAAAGAAGTTATTACAATATATACCATTGTATAATAAGCTAAGTCAGGACCATATTGAGTTATTATTTGGATGTTTAAGACATCATGGAGGAGGAAATAATAATCCTACTGTTAGGCAGTTTAAAGCTGCCATAAAAAAAATCTTAATTCATGCAGACATACGTAATTCTAATAGTGGAAATTGTATTTCCTTAGAGGAAATATCAATTTTACATGTAACATCTGCAAACAAAATTAGACAGTCTGAAGAGATTATTAATTCCACTTTCAAATTAGCACGATTAAGCGATGAATCGGAAGAAAATTATGATGTTATGAATGATAATAATTCATTATTCCACGATCATACCTACCTGTCAGATATTAGACAAATTACTGAATTTTCTAATAATGAAATTGAATATATTGCTGGCTACATTGTCAGGCAATTAAGAAGTACTTTGCGTTGCGAAAATTGTATTACTGCATTATTAAAAAAAACGGATAAAAATAATTTAATAAATAGAAAAAATCGTGGAGGATTAATTCAACCTTCCGATGACGTGTTACTGATTGCTTGGAAATGTAAAACTGAAATTCGTTGTGCTCTTCACGAGAGTAATATATTTATTATTATTAAAAAAGAAATTTCATGGCCACTATTTAACAAATAAAATTCTAACAAACTTTATAGAAACCGATATTTTTAATAATCTAGAAGAGCACGTTTATGACGATTCAGTCATGGAAAACCATATTATTCATTTAACTCGAACCATTGTACAGAAATATGTTAAGCTTCGATTGTATTATATTACTTTAAATAGTATCGATAAAGAAAAAGCAGAGTCAACGAAGTTTCTTTAATAAAATTATTTTATTTAAAGGACAGTAAATATTAATGTAAGTTTAGTAATAAGTATATTCATAATTATATAATAATTATATAATATATATAATAATAAATATGTATAAGTATCGTTTTATGTTTTATAAAAGTTCTTATAATAAATAATATTATTTTATAGTATATATATATATTTATTTTACTCATTATATAATTTCAAATATTACATAATCTCTATTCTTACTATAAATTTCTGTACAACAAAATGGTTCTTATCATTTTGTTACATTTACTATTTGCCAGTGACAGCAAAAGTCGTTGCATCACATGCTCTGAATATGCACACTACTGTAGCCAATGAAACTTAGGCACAGTTGCCCCCCGCATTTCAGCACAACTCTTCTTGCCTATCTTAAGGCTCGTCTACAATAGCTGTAAGAGTATGGCTGTAAGGTTGCAAAACACGAAATGAAATATTTTCATTCGCTGACAGCTTACGTTACAGCCTTACAGCCTTACTCTTACAGCTATTGTAGACGAGCCTTTACGGGCTTATGCTCTGTCCCTATATTCCTATGCTATGCACGTACTTGTTGACCCGTTAATATAATGGGCCTTCTACAATAAGCTATTAGTCATAAGTTGTAACTAAATTGACCAACCACAGTTGATTATTTTTGAAATAATCAATTGTGATTGGTCAATTTGCTTATAGCTTCTGACTAATTGCTTATTGTAGAAGACCTCTAAAGGCCCATCTACAATGGCTGCAAGAATAAGGTTTTAAGCGTAAGCAGTAAGAAATGGACCAACCATAATCGATTATTCTTATAATACGTCGGGAGAGTCGAATAAAGTTTCGGGAATCTTTTTTGTCATGGTCGACTTCTTGGAATATTTCAAACGGAATGGACGGTTTCGAACAGAATATTTTGATTGGCTAGTATGCTAGTGACACGTATTCACCGACATACGCACACATTGAAAATCGCGACCGTTGCATTGTAACACATAGTACGTGAATTCCAAAAGCCGACGTGCGTATTTTCCACGAATTTGGATTATCAAAGGCGAATATCGGCGACATCGGCGTGTACTGCTTCGTCGAGAGTACCGAAAACAAATTTCGTGCATTTGTCATGGTAAAGTATCGTCAAGTAGTCGAAAGTAAGTAATTAACGAAACAGGATCGTCGGGAGTGCCGAGTGAAATTACGTGCGTTTGTTGCTTAAGATTTGTGTTGTGATCAAGTGTTGTGAAAAAAAATGAAACCTGTTATTGTGCAAAATTAAATTTAGTGTTTGTATTGCGAAAAATATTAAGTGCCCGAAGATATATTTTACAAGAGGAGGGACATCAGAAATCATCGAGGGGTAAGTTTATTTTATGTACATCACGCTATAACAATTCGGAGTTGCTCGTTCCGTGATATTGCGTCGTTTTTCCATCTTGCGATGAAAAAATTATCCAATGAAAAAATTGATGAGGCTGATCATAGTGTGAAACGAAACATAAAAATCTCATCTAAATATTTTGAAACAATACAGTTAATATTTATTGATATTTTCATTCTTAATAGCTCATATAGCACGTAATATTACGTAATATTATAGAAATATTGTAGTAATATTGCAATATTACTATAATATTTCTATAATATTATGTAATATTACGTGCTATGTGGGAGTTCATCACATTTTTCATCTTAATCACATTTTATTAACCCATTCTGAATGAGCAAACGAAATATTACGTTCAACCCGAAAGCATAAGTTTTTCAACGAGTTCGCTTGCAGGTCTCTACGATTCTTAAAACTCATGGCCCGTGTAAAGCCCCTTGCACAATGCCAGACAACAGGCAATAAGAATAAAAGTAGACCAATCACAATAGATTATTCTTGTAATAGTCGATTGTGATTGGTCTATTTTTATTCTTATTGCCTGTTGCCTGGCATTGTGCAGAGGGCTTTAATGTCTCGTCGATTCCTGGAACTCACGCCATCGCGCGCTTACCCAGACGACGTGTCGTAGCGAACCATATTTACTTCCCCAAATTTTTACTTACCCTCTACGCTATTCAAAAAGCTATATTAATCTAGATTTTAGGAAAATTAGTCATACTGCCTTAAAATTAAATAGTATTATTTCTTTCGACTAGCATAAATATTTCCATGATGTATATATTGATCTATCATTTTTCTCTACATTAATTTCAACATTTCGGACTTCATAATTCTGTAACGTTGGACTGATTTGGTATATTCTTTTAGATCTAAAAATATACTCTAATCGGATTCGAGACTGCAACTACTATTAATAATTAGTAATTAGTAAAACTAGTAATTAGTAACTACGGTAGTTACTAATTGGGATTAACGTTGCCGTGTAGCAGGTCCCAATGGGTGCATTCAGTACTACAATTGCTCACTGAGCGCTAAGTGAGCTCTTGCATCTGATTGGTGTATATTTTTAAATCTAAAAGAATATACCAATCAAATGTAAAAGCTCATTGAGCGCTCAGTGAGCGGTTGTAGTACTGAATGCACCCATTGGCTGTATTCAGCAGACTCAACAGTTGGACAACATTACTAGATTTTCCACTGAATCTCGCTCCTGATTGGTAAATACTTCTGGGTCTATGAAGAATCTAAAAGAATGCTCCAATCACAGACAATAATAACTAAGCGCTCTCTGATCACTTTGGTTGCATTCAGCAGACTCAACAGCTGGACAACGTTACTAGATTTTCCACTGAATCTCGCTCCTGATTGGTAAATACTTCTGGGTCTATGAAGAATCTAAAAGAATGCTCCAATCACAGACAATAATCACTAAGCGCTCTCTGATCACTTTGTTCTACTGAACGCGGTCATTGTTCTACTGAACGCGGCCATTGTCATTTTATGTGTGAAGGCCCTAAAGCCTGTATCAGACTATGGATTGGAATTGAGATTGGATTGAAATTTGACCAATTGGAAAAGAGAAAATAACCTCAAATATAGTAAATTAGCCCTGGTTGGTTAAATTTCAATCCAATATTCAATCCCAATTCATAGTCTGATACGGGCTTAATGTTTACCGTATCTGAGACGGTGTTGCAAGAACTTCCCAATATCATTTTAACGCGATCCGAGTCTCGGCTAAATTTTATAGAGGCCGATAAATTATGGTTTGAGCCTCGACTGAATTTTATGGAGGCTGCTACATTGTTGTTCGAGTCTTGGCTAAGTTTTATAGAAGCCGATAAATTGTAGTTCGAGTCTCGGTTGAATTTTATGGAAACTGGTCAATTGTATTACGAGCTTTCAAAAGGATGAATGTTGTTTGCGTACGATTCTGTTTGCTCGATACATTTCGTACATATACTTTGTCAACAGTTTTGTCATGCGACATTTATTTTGCTGGGAACAATTGTTATAGAGACACGCCATGTGCATTGTAAATTTTGTGTACGTTACAAAGATATAATTACAGGGATTTCTGACATTACAATAATTTAGATCGAAGATAGATTGAATGATTTGTATCATAAAAGTGCATTCAAATTGTTTAGACCAGCAGATTATTCAACAACATGTTTTTGAACGTTTATTTTATTTACACCAGTTGCAACAGGTGAACCTAACGTTGGCCTGTTTCCAAATTTTTCCACAATAAGTCACATTTCGAGACGTTTCATAACGTTGCATTCACTGTTAAAGAATCAATAAACATTCCAGAAGCAATCGTCGTTAGCGCATAGACACTCGTCAATTCTCTTATAAATAAGGAAAAATTTCTCTCTCTCTCTCTCTTTCGCGCGTTTTCCTTCGTCATTTCGCACAATTGACAACATAAATTTACATACTCCACTGTGGTTCAACCTGTACACTTATATATATATATATATATATGTGTGTGTGTATATATTATATACATACAATATATACCCTATTTTTGTGGAAACGTTCGCAATATGTTACCAACAAGACCTGAACTCCTCCTCGTGTATAGTGACAACTTTTTTTACAACAGAGTTACTCATAACAACAGTAACATATAACGATGGTTCGATGAGAAATTATAATTTTGACAGTCGGCGAGACCGCACCTGACGATCAATTTTAGCAGTCGACGCGCTAAGAAAACGAATTCGTTCACTAGCACGACGACAAGGGGATAGGAGAAGAAATTAAAACGAAGCGACAGAGGAAGCGTTCAATTCTCGTCCAGTCTCTCCTTTTGTTTCGATATGTATTCGCATATTGTACCGTTTACGTAAATAATCGCGCGATTGCAGGTATGTTTAAAAGAGCAACGATCGGGATATGCGCGACATCGTGCCGATTGTGTGGAACATCCTTAATAGAAACCGCACGCTCTGCTCGTCGCAGATTTCTCAGTTCACCCAAACATGGATTTTCTTCAGCGAGAGAGCTCTCTTGTCGCGATAAGGAGAAGCGACATGAGGGACCGGGAATTCTTACGAGCTATACCAATTTAGCACGATTGATAACTCGATCATCGTAGAGATATCGTCGTGTTGAAATAGCACTTCCATAGATTCATATTGTGCACTTGCAAAGTATTACTCGCTAACATGGATTTCAGTATGGACCCACACGTGAGTCCACACGTACATCGAAATGCTCGGTGACGTTAGTGAAATTGTACCGCATTCAATTTGCTCGACACAGGGTCGGTTGTTCCAACTTCTTGCTAAGTCAACTGACGGTTAAATCATATGTTTGTCTTTGTTTTTCCTTCAACTTAGAGAAAGATAGATATGTGATTTAACTTACCAAGAAGTT